CACTTTGCATTTAATTTCATCATATTTCTTTCAACATATTGTAGTCCTAACAGTTTCACAAATATGCCATGCTGTTATAGCTTTTACAAAAGGCAGCAGAGGTGCTTGACCATGTTTTTTCAGGAAGTGGTTACTTGAGCTCAAGAGGAACTCCACTACCCAAACCCCTTTTGAAGTCATGGAGGGCAGTTAGCGGTTAATGGGTAAGAGCCGTGGTACACAGGCTGTGACTAGAAAACACAGAGAGAGACAGGACAAGAAACCATCCAACCTAAGGACAATTAAGAAAGGCCAGTTAACATAATGTGCATGTTTTGGAGGACAGCAGGAAGAGAAGAGTATCAGATGGGAAATTTGCTGCAAAGAGTATCAGCTGTTGCTCTAAACTAAGAATAAAAGTTATACTGGAAACATCTGCATTTGGTAGCACATTTAATTGGTTTCAGAAATTTGATGAGTTTACAGCTAATAGATAAAATAAGCACCTCACCATTTTGAAAAAGGTTTTACAGGACATGTTTACCCATTAATTAGATTTGGGTTTTCTGTTTTGTTTTGTTTAGTAATGGAATCTCAATTGACAAAAACAATAGGATCACCTGACTGATCCTGTTTGAGGTGTTGCGCTGTTCTGTACACATAAAGTACTTTCTGAAAGAGTCCCTGCAGGAGAAACGTATTGCACCATTTTAAAGAAGTGTTGGTGCCAACACTGGGAAAGAGATGTATGAGGCTGTGGGCATTCAATTGATTTTCAGTCAACACATCGCTCACATAGTCTTTTATGTGTTAAATTATTTAAGAACAGCAGCTTCAGGGAAGTGAATTTATATCCTCCCCAAAGGAGCAGGCAACTTACCTGTGTCACTGAGTATTTTGCATCAGGTATTTCACACATATTCAACTGTATTAGTTAAATGGCTTTTCCCAATTCTCCTCTGCTTCCAGGGGTTGCTAAAGGTTTTAAAATGGAGCCTCGGGGCACGACATATTATCCACACTGAGAAGGTCTCTATCATTACCACCATGTATTAGTAAATGGTTCATTTCAGCTTTCCTCTCCAAGCATCTTTTTTTTTCATCATACAATAGACTTCCTCCTGGAGCCTTCTTGGTAAATGACCATATTCATTATTCATCAAGGATTAGTGTCATAATCGATTTTGTCTGAGTGCTCTGCAATTCACACTGTGTTTTTAATCCAATCCCCAAGAGATTCTGAACTTTGTCACATCTAATTAGGTCACACGA